TAGCCTTATTTGATTTGCATGCGCCTAAAAAGAATATAATACTTAAAGAGAATCCAAAGCCGTGGATTACGGACACGGTCAAATTTATTATGAAGTTGAGGGATGCGGCTCTAGAAAAGGCTCTGAAAAATAAAACAGAATCGTCTAAGAACTACTATCGCGACCTTAGAAACTTCGCAACGGCAACCATTAAACGAGAAAAGAAAGCATACTTTAATCAGTTCATAAATAAAAATTCTAAAAAGCCANCAAAATGTCGCGGAAGACTTGAAGCACGCCTACTGGAAACATTTGTCTTTGAGGCAGTTTTTTTTTTCTCCACTCATCCCAACCTAAATTCCTTTTATACGCAAATACACTAACAAACATACACCAACACACACAACACTCACGTCTCACATGTACACACACAATCAACTGAAACTAACGAGTACCGTACATACATATTGTCTTTGTATTTATAGGGTTTTTGTTTTTGTTTTTTAATTACCCCTGTTTAATCTTGCCCTCCTCCCCTTTTTACTGGTTGTTTCCCACCTTCCAACTAAGGGAAAAGGAGGAGGCTGAAAATCAGCGCGGGGTAGGGTATGCTTGACCTCGCATATGCTGAGCCTCATCCTTTTGCCTCTTATGTTTTTTAATGTAATTTTTTTTGTTTATATTTCTATGTTTGTAAAGCATGTAAAAACGAGGCAATAAAGTATTATCTTATCTTATCTTATCTTATCTTATCTTATCTTATATAGACAATATGGTTTATGGTTTCTTTGACCGAGGATCATGACGCCCGTATTCACAAACATTACTATGAGGTCTCACAGTGCGCGTAGACGCATAGGTTGACACACGTACCAATCACAGAGCTCCATTCAACGCTGTGCGGTCGATTTGCTGCTTCACTTGTTTGTAAATACGGGCGTGAGTTAGTCAGGAGTTACTCCACAAGATGATATCGCTTTTTGAGCTCTATGCATCTCGTTCGCTCATTGAGGAATTCCAGTATTAGTGAGAAGGACAGGATATCGGGATCGTTCTTCCGAGTATCGCCGTAAGTAAGGAACACTTCCCCTCTTGTTACAAAAGGTTAAATTCGCCTTGATTACTAGTTTCTAAATGTCGTTTTGAACCAGTGTTCATCACGCGTTTAACTTTTGTACAAGGCACATCATATCTACACCCTAATTCGTCATGAATGATTGAAGGGTAACTAAAAAGGGGTTGCCTAAAACAAACAAACCTCTTAAAAGGTTAAACCAGCTTCGCAGAAACACTCAGTTACGTACGAATACAAAAGCCTAATGGCTGACACACGAGATATGAATTTCAGAGATAAGGTGCTTATCGTATTACCTGATAACGTCATTGAACACCTGAGACGAAATAGGCACGACGTTATCTTCATTACCAATATTAAAACAGATAAATACACCTAACAATACTTGTTGAAGATGATGCCTGTCATTTCTTTTACGTATTGGTGAACATGAAAATCTTTGTAGTAGTAGGCGTAGGCATTTGCATGTTAATCAACTTCTTTTAAACACCAATTTCAAAAGGGCGAATAATAATAGATTTTGTTATGCTCTCTAAAAAAATATCTAAAACCAGTGCAAAAATATTTTTCACAATTAGCCATGGCCTTCATTTCATGCATTCAAAACATTACTAGTTGTATGTAGATTTGTAGTCGATAGATAAAAAGTTTCAAGCTCACTCTCGTGGTTTTTTCTTCTGCTCTTCGTCACATGTTGTTCAAAACATTGGTTTGATGCGTGAGTAATCTCTATTTGTAATATCGACGCGAAATGCGCTAAGCGCCAAGACCAACGTTGTTGGTGGTCACTCCACTGTAGGAAGTGACGTGAAGACGACCGCGCTTTCACTGATGTATTTGTTTGGTTATCGGCCGATGAGCATTATTAATCTCTACAAAGCATTGCCAATTTCCAACATCCTCTATTGAAAATTAACCATGAAGGTGAACGGTCAGTGTTCATATAACTGCGAACTCATGATATTTGTGCCCACATACCTACTCAGATTGATTATTTCAATAAGCCCTTAGATTAGAATATTAATACGATAACCAAAATTGAAACGTGAACCCCAAAAATGACTCATATTTCAACAGCGCCAGACAGTAGAGTCGCTTGACAGACAATACGGGGCCTAGACAGAGCCGAGAGAACACTAGAACGCTTGGAAGGTTCTCGAGACAAAGAAGTCGCAGGGTCAATGACTGGATTGTGATGCAACTCATTAGTCCTGTTAAGCGAAACGAGGACGAGTGCAATCCGAGCACATAATCGATTTGGTGGCGACGAGTATGCGAGCTATCGTTGTGGATGTGGATAGACAAATCGATTTGGTGGCCGCGCGATTGCGAGCTTTAGTGATATCGTGGATAAACAATGAAGAGTACTGTTTTGGCACGGTAAATCACCTTTATGATTTGTTGAAGGTTAAACAACGTAAATCAAAATGAAAAGGAGACAGAAAAAGCTTTTTGTCTGCTTTGTTTGAAAACCAAAAGAATTTTAAGGATCTGGGAGAGGAAAATCGCGTGACAAGCACATCCAAATTATACAAAAGCTAAAATAACTTATGAAGTTAAAAATTTAAATAAACTATGAGTCCAAGCAAGAGCCATTAGTATGTTTATGATATTTAACTACGTGTTACTACAACAACCGTTGCTATGTTGACAACGCGAAGTGATAGTTACTTTGTAGAATAGGTATTAATATAATCTAATAGGGCACAGCAATCAATGAAGGTTAATTTATTTTGTTATCAATTAAAACTTTAGATAATTATGCTAATGCTAAATACAAAATTGTCTCGCGAAATTGTAAATACCTGACGTAAAGCATCGTTTAAAAGCGATCAGAAATTGGACAAGTAAAATATTAAGAGAAAGTACCAGTTATACCACTTACAAATTCCTGTTTCAGTTGCCGATCCAATCAATCAACTAAATCATTAGCAATAATAACAACAAAAAAGAGTTTATTTTTATCAATTAGTAGAATATACTACTGCCAATAAACAAGAGAAACACACACGTGATGAATTAGCAAAAATAGACAAACTACTGATGTTACATTCGCGTAACATTGAAATTTGACAACACGTGATTTGTGTAACCTCAAGAAAACACCACATTCTCAAGGGAAGCACGAGAATAAGATTTAGTTTATAATTCGCGAATGTATTGAAAACATCCACCGCGACTCGATGACGTCCGAAATCGTGAAGATCGATTTAAAAGACAATGCCGGAAATTGGCGTCTTTTTTTTTCGCGCGGCCATCGACCAAACCTTGTTTTTTGATGACAAAATAGTGTAATAAACCAAACTTACTATGACATGTATACCTCTAAACTCAGTCTGAACTGAGTTACGAGCATTAGAAGTTTGATGATTTTACATACTAGATTTGCTTTTTGCGCGCATAGTTTTGTAAGAAATTGCAACAAAATAGTGACATTGTATGTGTAAACAAACAATACCATCCATTTTAGGCTCCAGACATCAGTGTGGAGCAGAATCAGCGCAATAAAAAAATAGTGCAATATTTTGTTGCAATTTCTTACAAAACTTGCGCACAAAAAGCAAATCTAGTGTGTAAAATCATCAAACTTCTAAAGCTCGTAACTCAGTTCAGACTGAGTTGAGAGGTATACCATGTCATAATAAGTTTGGTTTAATACACTATTTTGTAATCAAAAAACAAAGTTTGGTCGATGGCCGCGCGAAAAAAAAAAGACGCCACCTTCCATACTAAATCTGGCATTGCCATTTCAATCCTAAGTGTTATAAGTGTTAACTGCAGTGTGATCTCAGATGACATAAGCCGAAACTGGTAGCTTGATATATCAAGCCTTATTCTGCCTTATTCCCGTTGAAACAATCATGATGATCCATACACGTGTGCAACACGTAAGAACTAAAAGAAAATTGATATCGCAACATTCGAAGGTTGCTAATATGTTTATGGACAGGGCACATAGTACGCAGAACTGACGGCCGATGGGGTAGCAAGGTTCTGGAGTAGAGGCCGCGTACCGGAAAACGTCCACCCACAAGGTAGACCGACGACATCATAAAAGTAGCAGGAAGGCACTGGACGCAGGCCGCTACCAACCGGGAAACATGGAAAGCATTGCGGGGGCCTATGTTCAACAGTGAACGTCCTATGGCTAAGATGATGATGATGAAATATGTTTATTTATAGACTAAAAACTCTACAACAGAGTTTTAATGTCAAACTCTGAAGAGAAGTCGAGTAAAAGACTTTTTAATGCAAGCTCTAACCTTACGTACACCACTTTCTTTTGTTTCTATAGAGCCAAAATTCCATGCCATTGCCACTCCGACCAGCAGGTCAACCCGGCAAATGCCAGGTCAAGTTCCTTGCGCTCCGGTTCGGTCGAAACTAGGACTTCTGTGACGTCATTGTTGCACGCCGGTGCTAAATATAGCGAGCACTAAGTAACCTCACCCGGTGACCCAGTTAAACCCGTGCATGTACGTACAATCCGCCCTTGAGAGAAAGGGAAGTTCGGATCCGATTGAAAATCTCGGTAAAAATGGCCTTTATCCACGAAGCGAAAGGATTGATAGTTGCGTTACTTTTCGTATCAAAGGTGAGATAAATAAATAGATAGAAAGATAAATTAGACAGTTGAAACGTCATTCCGAATGACGATCTCATTGGCGCCAAGATAAGCTCCTAGAGCAGTACACTCTTGGCGCCCAGACAAAGCTCCCAGGCATTTGAACACTGTTCTTAGAACTCTGAAGTAAATTTTGATTTACCTTTTTAATAATATTTTGCGTTGACTCTTCATCTATTTATTCGATTTGGACTCAAAAGGCATGAAGAAATATAGTTTCGTATACCCTAATTCCTAAAGAATCGACAAGAAATGTATGGTGAGTATTTGCAAATTCTCTTGAGCTGTCAATATCTTCAAATTAATAACTTTAGCACTTACCCGACCGCCCTCATCAATCGGCTTCGCAGGCCCATTGTACGGGCAGTATCTCTGCTTGAAGTCAGTCTTATTTGTACACACGCCATACCATATGCACTGGCCTTCTGCTGACGCCAATGGGATCTGAAACAAACGAGGAAATAATTTAGAGCATGCTGTATTTTTGCAAACGATCCCTAAAACCTTCATCCACAACTGAAAATCTAAGAAAACATTATGAAACTATCAAGGTGTAAAATTACATTCTCGAGGTTCTTTAAGCTTACGTTACCTCCAAGAGGGTTTTGTTGTAACCAAGGGTTAATAGTTTAATTATATTTATAAAGGATTCCTACACCTAGCTGAAGGGTCTTTGCTTAGTAAATAAAGGACACGTGTCATAGTATATTTAGTTTAAATGTGGTAAATTGTGTCAACATGGACAGTGCGTTTAATTTCCAAACAAGCCTAAACCCATATTGATCGTTAGATGTTAGACTTTGCGTGCTAGACAGCTATTCACTGAAACTGAACTTGCCTAAAATTCCGGCTAGCAAACGCCATTGGCAGTATTGAACATGACCTATGTACAGCAGCACATCAGGATGCAAAATAACCTCTATTCCTATTAAATAAGATGCCACAGTGTTTAACTGGATGTGCCGTGTTGTATGTACGTTAATGTGGCGATATTTAGACCGTACATAGAAAAGATTGTATGAAAATGGAACATTAGACTCATAATTTCATATGAAATTACCTACGTTTATGTAGTTTTTAGGAGGAACAATTCAATCACAAAGTATTCGTATCCGTTTGAACAGTCCACTGTTTTATTAATGTGCGCAATCAAACAAAGTGCAATGCAATTTACCGCATCCGTATGCAGCAGGATTACACATAAATTAATTTCAATTTTGTTATCTGTATCTCCTAAAAAAACATTATTACCATATGTTACGACTTTCAAGCATTTATTAAACTTCCCGAAATAAAATTCACTATACAAATAAATAACATGATGTTTATTGTTAGATTTGTCTTTTAAAATACGTCAATTTGCAAGAACCTTCTAAAACCGTTACATGATAACAACTTTTCTAATAACGTTGACCGATATGCGCAGTCCTCGAGCACTTTGACTTTAAAATGGCCTGTCTACGTCAAACCACCATCCAGTATTTTTGGAAGGCGAAAACAAGACATTAATCAAAGTCAAACTGAGCTCTACATCTTACGATTCAAGGTTCAGAATCGAAGATCGGGACGTTGCATTGAAATCGTGGTCATAATGATATTAATGATACAGGATACAGGCGACAATCGCCTTATTCGATCAGCAAACACCCGCACAATGTAGGACACGTGAATACAGATGCGGGCCCGTTATTTAGTAATGACTTTCAATAGGAAAATGGGGGCGGATTTTTACTTTAATCAATATTATTACATTAAGGCCTGATTCGACCAAACTTTTATCCAAGAATAACTCCTGGCATAACTGGCACATTGACAGTTTCAGTATGGGAAATATGTCAAAATGTCAAGAAACTTACGATTTAATCTGAGATTAATATTTACTCTTGTTTGGTCGAATCCACCCTAACATGGACATAATATAGAATTTAGGTAGGTGCCATAAAATCTGGCAGACGTAAGTTAAGTATAATAACAGACATAATGTTCTTAGATCCCCTTATAAAGACAATACCAAATAGCCCCAATAACATCATTTTAGCTAATGAATTCTAAACTGATAAATCACTTTTGCCAATATTGATTTAGCTGTGATTAATACAAAATTATCTTTTAGTTTAAGTCATTGGACTATTTTAAATTTATGATAATAAAGAATAACTTTTAAAAAAAATAAAACCGACTTCAAATGCGTGAACACAAATAATACCTATTCAACAAAAAAATAATCGTTCAAATTGGTTCATAATCGGCGGAGATATTGCGTATAAAAAAGTTCATCCCCAATTTTCCACCCTTGGCACANCTAGTTGACATGTCTTCTCTAGTACGTAGTACATTATAACTCAATGAACAAACATAGAAAAAAAAACATACGGGTCGAATTGAGAACCTCCTCCTTTTTTTGAAGTCGGTTGAAAAGTCCAATATGACAAATGTAAACAACATCGATAGAAGAGCTGATAGTGATTATGTATCAATCAATTCAATAACCTTTCTAAGAAATCGGATAAAGTAAGTACGTGTTACGTGGAAATGTTCGTAAACATTTCTTGAAAGAAGTATAAATATTTCTAAATCTATTTAAAGGTAGGAATCGTTTATTCAGGTTTTACCACTGTATGATTTTCCAGAACGAAAGCATCCATAATTCAGGCCGTTTCAGCTCCCATCGATATTTCAGTTAAATATGCTTTTGGGTCATAGTCGATTAAATGACCTGGGCCAGAATGTATCAATATAAAGCACTATTAGACATTGACCTTTCACCTCTTGCAAATGGCACGAGTTAACGGTTAGGACGATTATACAAACATGGTAAATAATAGAAAAGGATGCCTATCATTCATGAAGAAGGTAGAGTTTAACCATTTCACATACAGAGCTTCAGGATTTGAAAAATAGTATAGAGTACTGCTCAAATGCTCATACAATATTTCTACATAATATGCTACATTAGGTAGAACAATTTCATCGCAAACCGTCTACCTCATTGTTGTTTCATCAAGGTACTTGATAATAAGTGATAAAATACTAATATCTACTATCTAATCCAAAACAAATCCTTTGTCCAACAGTGGACGTCATTTGGTTGAACGAACGAATCCAAAATAAAGGCTCACAAAAAGAGTAAAATACCTGTTCGCCCATCTCTACAACTAGTACGGATGCAGAAGCCTTTCATATTTTAATTAAAGGGAAAAGCTTGAACGTTTGACCTATAGAAAGTTCTTGCATTGAAAACATACCTATACCCCGAGTTCGCTCAGTCTTTCATTCAGTCCTTTATACTACATTCAGGGGCAGTGGCCTCTAAATACGTGTTATCGAAACAGTTCGTTACCACCACGTCTTTTCATGATGATAAAAGGAGCAAGCATCAACAACCTGCGTAGATGGTGAATGAAAGATATTTAGGATTGTAACTAATGGTTACGACGTGAACTTTCTAAGAGCTTTTGTTGAAGAAAACTTGATATGTCATGCCATCAACAAAATTGTTTTTGTAGCGCTGGATAAAGATCGTGCATGTTGTAAGAGTTTGGTAGGTACCTAGTGTAATCGAGACTAGATTGAATACACGTAGAATTTCCAATAATTTTTAATTAAGGCAATAATTTGAAACTGCATGAATCTTCTAAGAAAACATATCAACTTAAGCCCATAAGTTAGCGAACTCCAGCGTCACGTAAGTATTACATATCAATGAGATTCTCATGAAGCTGAGCCAGCATTACTTGCATCTTTACTAAGTACTTGCTAATCTAAATTTCAGTTTCCCCGAACAGCGATACCAAACACGCAACGATATAAGGATCAATAACACTCGAGTTGAGATATTTAATCGCCAACTGTGTCGTGTGCTCCTTTACCTTTAATAGCTTCACAACAGGCGATAATAAAGTATTCAGGAACAAACAACAATTCGTTTGAAGTAGTATAATTATCATAAATATAAAATGATGATTATTTATTTATTTATTTTCATTATCACAGTTGAAGGACTGGAATGCATCACCTACATGACGGAATCGACTTACGGTTATTTTTTACTCTTAAGCCTAGGCAGGCGCAGACCAACGACTTTTAGTTGGCCGATAGTTGGGCCCGATTCTAATTTGTAAGAAGAACCGGCCGATACCAAATCGGTGTAATGTGCGCACTTCCATACATGCCCATACTGATTAACTGCCCTTCTAAACTACCGGCCAATAAAAGTTGGTGGTCTGCGCCTAAACTTAAGCTTTACCTTGACAAAAATATGAATCAGTTACAAATATGAGTAAACCTCTGAACGGGAAGTTATCCGGCAGACTTTAGTACTAGTGGTTACTGACTCAGACGTCAAGCCCGATCAATGACGCGAGTCTGACTCACATATTATCAAGTATCAAGTTAATTTATGCGAATCGTTCGTATGTTGGTCTCATACACAAAACGTATCCTTTACTCTGACCTTATCAATGTTTCGTCGACCTTTTATCAGTTTACAAACCATTTAGACAATACACTGTTATCAAATCAATTTAGTTTTATTTCCACGTGCCTTCCAATGAGTATGATCTCAGATGTGACAATGATTCACTTAGTTAGCTTAGCAGTAGTTTGTTTACTTTATTACTATGTCCAAGCATGATGTTAACAATGCAATAAACGTGTTTTCATTATGGTTTATTTCTTTAGTTCACATACTTGGGGTTTAATAACTTGTTTGTATGGGAAAAGTGTTTCAGAGCTTCTTACACTCGTTATAAGTAATACATAATTGAATTAGCCCTAATCACTAGTAGTGTGTAAGTAAGTGGTCGGATAATGTTTTTGAAAAAAATACTAGGCCTATAAAACCTAAGCCGGTATGAAATAAATACTGCATTGCACGTCAGACGAACGTGTTGCATAAATCTTTTATATTTTATTTTATGTACCTAGTTACTTTAATGCAATACTATTATTGTATTCATGTATTGCAGTGCGTATATTATTTAATAATTGGCTGTAAAATGATGGTTCGTGCGTCCAATTTGGACAAAATAATGCTTTTTAACAATAATTAATTCAATGCGACAAATGACTCCGATCCGATACATTTTCTAACACTTTCACAACAATGCAAAAACAAGACGCAATTATTATTGCAAAATTACTGCATCATTATTAATTATTGCTTAATATGGCAAATTAATTTAATTCCAATGATGACCCTTGTATGTTTTGAAACTGAAGCAAACCGGATGAAACCAAGAAAGTGTGCTCCTTTTCCATCAATCAATATCAACATGAAATACCCCGTCACTGGACACCATTAGGGTTTTCCCCATTAGGTGAAATCTATTTTCAATCTACCTACTTTGTAATAAAAGCTCGTTTTCCACAACACAGCTAACCCTCTTCAATCAATTTCAGCAGCCATCAAGTCATCTGCCTCATTTTGACGTTAAATATTTAAA